CTTATAAAGAACATAGGTATTACTGTTACAAAAGTTATTAAATGACCTTTTTCCTAATATGAAAAGATAATGAGTTTGGGACATACCTTAATTTTCTTCATATCAGTATTAAATTTGACATGATCTATGACTCCAAGAGCATTTGTTTTTGAATGTTGAAATCACAGACAAAGATGGTTGTTTATACTGATATTTATAAGAAACCTGTAGATGGTAACTCTACCCTGCACACCTCAAAAGAATCTTCCATATTCACAATGGTTGGGGATGAGAGGACACTGCAGCAGTTTAGAACTTTTATTCAAACAAGCAAGCATTCCTAAGCAGTGGTTCCCAGCCTTCGTTCCTCCAGAAGCCTCAGCCAGCTTGGCCAACTATCAGGAATTCAGGGAGTTGAAGTCAAAACACCTAGAGGACCAATAGTTGGGAATTTATTTATTTATTATTCATTTAAAACTTTTATATCCGGATCTTCTCTACCTTCGCAGAGGGACTTAGACCAGCCATCAAAGATGCCTGAAAGCCAGCAAGCCCTCTCCCCACACACACAAGTGAGCTTGAACTAGATTGTACACATACAGCAAAACACAGCAACAGAACGAATCCAAGCCTTAAAAAGACTTCGTGCCAAAGGAGAAATACTTTCTGTGTTAGAATCAAGCCAGTTACAAGGCAAATACAATATGTTTTGGTGTGTGTGTAGACAGAGCTATAGCCTCATTTCTCTTAGCTTTTTAAACTGCACAATAATACAGTGTAAGATATTGTGAATTACATAATGCCACAATGTTTCCCTGACATTTGTTGATAATCCTTCTCTTTCCTCTTGGGTCCTTCATACTGCAAGGCATAGGCCTTTAAGAAGGAAAGAGGGGTGGCTACACTTAACTCTCTGACTGTATCCCTAAGATCGTTTTTTTCAATATATCACCTATCTCTGAATTGCATTCAACAGGTTAGTCACCACCCTGACAAACTGGTAACAGCCCCACACTAAAAGGCTTCAACTCTCCTGTTGTGGATGTTTTCAAGTGACAGCCTCTAAACAGATGTTGTATAGCATAAACGTAAAGGGAGTGTGTCGTCCCCGTGTTCTCTTGGGGGACTAAGGCTGTCCCATTGCCTTTCACAATTGACCACTCTAGTGTGGGATGGGAAACTACCACATCCACAAAATGTGATAAAAGCTCACCTAACTTTGCTTGTGTTTCCCCAGACCACCTCCATGAAAGGTATTTCTAGAACCAGTGGTGTTAGGAAGGAAACTGTGCCTCTATGGACTAATCTTGGGATCCAAACCATTGTTAGGACAAGATACATGGGCACCACACTGTCATTTCAGATTATTTTGGTACTGCATGTACTGATCAATGAATGCAGTTAGCCAGGCAATAAGTAACAACATACTTCTTTTATGGGCTTGTATATTTTCCCACCATTAAACTGGACAATCTGCCAAAGCCCTTGCTGGTGTTATTCATTTCTGGAGAATGTGTGTTGAACATATTTGAGTAGGCTACTTAAGCAAGAAATAAACACAACTTTGGTCTTGAATTCTCAACTCACAATAATTTATCTTTCATTTGACCCTTGTGGGGTCATACTATTTGCAAAGCTTTTATAGGTTTGAATTGGAAATTTAGTAAAATTTGAAAGCAGTATTTGTGGTAGAGCGTTGGAGTATGCTGAATGATTAGCTTGCGAGACATAATCTGATGATTGAAAGGGGAGAGTAAGAAAGGACAGTTGGAGAGGGAGGGATTGCATGTGAAGGTGATATTGACTCCAGTATGCAGGAATAAAAGGTAGAATAGGCAGTGAATTAGATTAGGCCTTTGCCAAGATATGTGGAAATACTGAGAATAAAGAAGAAACTATAATGATAAATTTATATGAATGCACTTTCAAGCAATGCAGTAGTTTATTTAAAAAAAAGTCATATTGAATATAAGGCATCAAAATAGTAAGAGAAAGAAAAAATAGGTTATAGTTTATACAGTGAAAATGGGAGGATGTTTATTTGTATAGAAAGTAGGAAAACAAGAAGGTAAAAAATAGCAAGAATAGTAATAATAATATAATAATAATAAAAGGTATATAGAAAAATTGAAGAAGAGAAGAAGAAAAAGAAAAAAGTGTTTGTTGACTTCCTTCTTGCTTCCGATGGTCCTTAAAGAATTTATTTAAAATATCATTTTGCTTAATCTGCTTCCCCTCCATCTACTTCTTTTAGGATTGAATATCTTCAACAAATGAGGTCAATCTTCATCTGTTTTAAATAGTCCTTTACAAGGTCCCAGTTAGTATGTTTTTTAGGTAGTCCTTGATTAGGTGAAAGCCAGTAGGTAAGCCTGTCCATATTCATACTTTCTAACACCTTATTTAACCAGTCCTCTTTTTTCAGTATTTCTTTTAACTCCATGTCCTGGCATAGAATATTCTGGTTGCTGTGATCAAAACTTAAACAGAATCTCTTTGTTTTTATCTTTTTCTATATCTAGCATACCAAGTAAAAAGTATTCAGGCTCTTCAAATTTTTATTTTTAGAATCTTTTGTATAGCTTCATTTATTTCTTTCCAAAACTGTTGCACTTTTGGGCAGGTCCACCATGAGTGGAAAAGGGTTCCTGCCTGCTGTTCACATTTGCAACATTTGTTAGATGCATTTTTATAACATTTAGCAATTTTGTGTGGTGTAATATACCATCTATATAGCATTTTAAACCAATTTTCTTTTAAATCATAGGAATAGGTATATTTGAGTCTTGGTTCCAGGCCTTTCCCAATGTTTTAAATCAATTTGATGACCAATATTCTGAGCCCATTTCACTCTGTTATTTGTTATTTTTCAGTTGTTCATTCCAATAGTTTTTATTTTTTACTGTTTGTTAAAATGTATTTGTTCAACCACATCTGACCTGGTTACAACAGACTTTCTTAAAACTGCAAAAGAATGAATATTGTAGACTATGATGGCATCGAACTACCAGTAAGAAATAAAACAATGTTTATTTTAAAAGGTATTATCTTCCTATGTAGAACAGATGAAGCCAGAGAGAGTACAACGTCCACTTCCACCTGCATGATTTGAGAGGGGGGGGCATAGCTCAACAACAGTGATACCTTCAGAAGTACTGTGAGGTGAAGGTGAGGGAATATGAAAAGGTGCCTCATGCCTTTTAAAGACACCAGGATGTGTGCCCCACCTCCTGCCCCACATAATTGACATTCAGGATCAGGTTTCTTACAAAATCAGAAGTGACTAGAAATGTTACTGCTGATTCTGAAACAGCTGGCAAAATTGCCTGCGTGGTTCCTAGATTATATGAATGACCTATCTCAGTGAAAGAAGTGTTTGGATTTGGAGATGAGGATGCCGCTGCACTGAGGCTTCTGGTGGGTCACAAGGTGCATTTTGCTCTCGCCTGCTGAAAGTGTCTTCTTTAAGGATATCATTCTCAGATTCTGAGCTAAAGAGCTGTATTATGCAATGAACAATGTGTTGGCATGTGCCATGCTTTTCAAACAAAAAAAGATGGTGAACTTCATATTGCATCCCCATCCAGACAAGGGCAAATCAGCCTGCTCTCACTGTTTCTAAGCACCATACAGGCACACCTAGAAATGAGATTAGCAAAGAGGTTTATCAGGGCATACTGGGTTGTGGACAAATATAACAAGTGTAGCCTAGCAAATCCTTCATGAAATCTGCAAAGGTGTCAGTCTTTTTGAACAGCTGCTTGCCTGGTTGCAGTCATGAGTTCCCTCACCTTCACCTCACATTACTTCTGAAGGTATCATTGTTGTTGAGCCATCCCCCCCCCCCCCAAAGATGTATCGTTCATCAAGAGACTTCAAACAAATGACATTTTTTCCTTTTTATTAAAATACTAGCTGTACCTGCCATGCGTTGCTGTGGCCAACCTTCCCTCCCTCTTTCTCTCCTCCTTTCTTTCTCTCCTTCCTTCCCTTTTTTTTTCCTTCTCTGCTTCCTTCCTTCTCTTCCTCTTCCCTTCCTTCCCCTCCCTTTTTCTTTCCCTTTTACTTTCTCTCTTCCTTCTCTACCTATTCTGGGACTGCAAATTTAAGATTTTGTTGTGAGCAATTTAGGGTGAGGTTGCCAGACAAATTCACATTTCCCTATAGACCATTTAGTTTTTCAGGCATTTGGAGACCATCTTGATAGTGCCCCATACTCTGGGGAGTCCATTCAGCAGTCATTCAGAGCTGGACATTTAGTGCAGTGGACTCTATTACATGGAACACCCCTTACATGTTCAGCATGTGTGTTTTCATGTTGATTCAGACGTATGGTGACCCTGTCCTACAGTTTTGTTGACAAAATATATTCCAAGTGGATTCACTCTTGTCCTTTTAGACTGAGGGAAAGTGATTTACTTAAGGTCTCTCAGTGGGTTTTCATGACTGAGTCATGACTAGGTCTGGTCTTTCGGACCCATTGCTCCACACTCAAAGCACACTACGATTCTCGCCCTTAGATACATGTAATAGCAAACCTTCCTGTATCCATTTCATCAATTAACACAACTTTATTTTGCGTGTGTATGTATTTGTGTGTGTGTGTTTGTATAGACGGATGGATAGATGGATGGATGGATGGATGGATAGATACATAGATAGATTCCTTCCATGTTCTAGCAAACCTGCTGTCTCTCAGCAGGCCCGCAGCCAGGATTTCGTTTCGGGGGGGGGGGGGAATTTTTTTCAGGGGGGTTCGGGGGGGCTGAGTTTTTGAGGGGGGTCTGAGTCTGAGTGAAAGAGGGTCTAGCCTTTTGTATCATTACCAATACCCCCATGCATATGGGATATATTGAGTATGGTGATCAGATCATGATATGAATAAACATAACAGTTTAAATAATGCACCAGTAAGGCCTTTTCGCGAACCACCATGAGAATTTCGGGGGGGGGGGGCTGAAGCCCCTCAAGCCCCCCCCCCCCCCCCCCCCCGCTACATGCCTGTCTCTCAGGCTGGGTCAGGACACATGTCCATATATAATTACAAGTTATAAAGGATAGCAGAAGCTGTAATTCAACACCAACTTGAGAGTAAAATGTTCTTCACCCTCTGCTTTGAGAAACAAAGTGTGTATGAAGACAGTAATTGAAATTCAGTCTGGATCAAGATAGCCCAGTGAAAGCCTGGCATTTGTTGTTGCCTTCCTATGTCTTCAAGTCACTTCCAACTACAAATAATTCACAGATTGCATCTCCCCAATAAATTCGAGGTGGACAATCTCTGATCTTCTGAATGTTGTGGGGCTATAAGTCCATCAGACCTAGCTAACAATAGAAGATCCTAAGCATCGCAGTTCAACATCTGGAGGACAATACTTCTTGGGTTGATATAAAGTCTAGCTAAGGGCCAGATGGCTGAGCATAATCTCACTATGTCACCACACTTTCAGTCTATGTGGCACAGCTTGTGACCAGGCCTTTTGCTCTAGCAGAGAAGTGGAGAATATGCCTGCTGCCAGACTATAGGGACCGTTTTAAGTTCCAGAGTAGGCTTTAATAACCCCTGAACCACAACTTGCAGGTAGAAGTGCTTGGTCTCAATCATTTAATATTGTATTTCCCTGAGCCAACTGAAAGCTCACCTCTGTGTTATGAACTTCAATAAGATATTTTATAAACAAATAACTTCACTTCCCTCACAGCTTCAAAATCCATATAGGACATGTAAAAGGTAGTGTTTTTTATTCCTGGTAGGAATGAACATGATGTGCTTTGGATGTATTGATTAAAGTTGAGAACAAGACCAAAATGCCAGACTGTGCTTTTATGTTGTCTTTTGCTTGAACCCTTCATTTGTTTTCATTGGTGGTTTGTAAATCCACAGGAAGAACAAAGAATTTAATCCAAATGTAACTGTTTGAGCAAACCACCGAACCTGGGTTGTGTGATCAGTGATGCCTTTCTCCCTGCAGAGAAGAAAGAGACAAATAAATGTAACGCTAGTGAATCTATATAAATAAAAATGTAATGTTTGTATGTGGTATTAACATAATGCAAAAACCACTTGACGAATTGACACCAAATTTGGACACAAGACATCTATCAGGCCAACAAGTGACCATCACTCATAAAAACACTGAAAAACACAGCGGAAAAGACTTTAAAAGCCAAAAAACAAAAAATACATTACAACACTTGTGCAAAACCACATATATATACGCAAACACACATATGTCGCAGGTTCAAATCTGGGGAGCGGCATGAGCTCCCGCTGTTAGCCCCAGTTTCTGCCAACATAGCAAATGTGAGTAGATCAATAGGTACCACTCCGGCGGAAAGGTAACAGCACTCCATGCAGTCATGCCGGCCACATGACCTTGGAGGTGTCTATGGACAATGTCAGCTCTTCAGTTTAGAAATTGAGATGAGCACCACCCACCAGAGTCGGACACTACTGGACTTGATGCCAGGAGAAAACCTTTATCTTTACCCTACACAAATACATACACACACAAAACACTTATGTGCAGACTGGGCCACAGCAACGCGTGGCAGGGGACGGCTAGCTACAGAATAAAAATCTAGTTAAAGAAAGATCTTTGAGGCTCTCTAAATTCCTCCCAAGTAGGCTGCTCACCCTTGCTTCTTTATGCTCATTTCAACATTGTTGTTGTTGTTGTTTGCTTTCAAGTCATTTCCCTGATATACTTTTCATTGGGATTAATAGAGTGTACCACTTGCTTCCCACAGACAAATTTGCTATGGCTACTAACCTGCTTTTTTTTTTTAACCACTTTAGATTGCATGAGAAATCATCTCCCCCATGAACACACATATAAAATCTATATAAATAAAAATGTAATGTTTATTTGTGGGATTAACAGCACTCAAAAATTACTGGATGAATTGACATCAAATTTGGACACAAGACACCTAACAACCCAATGTATGCCCTTCACTCAAAAATTGATTTTGTCATCTGGGAGTTATAGTTGCTGGGATTTATAGTTCACCTACAATCAAAGAGCATTCTGAACCCCACCAATGATGGAATTGAACCAAACTTGGCACACAGTTCTCCCATGACCGACAGAAAATACTGGAAGCGTTTGGTGGGCCGTGTCCTTTGGTTTTGGAGATGTAGTTCACCTATATCCAGAGGTTATTTGGTTTTGGAGATATAGTTCATCTATATCCAGAGATCACTGTGGACTCAAAACAATGATGGATCTGGACCAAACTCTACACAAATACCCAATATGCCCAAATGTGAACACTGGTGGAGTTTGAGGAAAATAGAATCTTGACATTTGGGAGTTGTGGTTGCTGGGATTTATAGTTCACCTACAATCATAGAGCATTCTGAACCCCAGCAATGATAGAATTGGGCCAAACCTACCACATAGAACCCCCATGTGGGCCACAGCAAAGTGTGGCAGGGGACGGCTAGTATTTGTATAAAAATGGAAGTGGCATTTCAGGTGAGGCTGTTTATGAGAACTGCAAGAAGTAAAAAGAGACCAAAAACAAAAGGGAAATAAATGAAAATAGCTTACTTGCAAAGCTTGAGAACAATAAATGCCCACAGAGCATGAAGTATCCAGACTGTCACAAACCTGTGAGTTAAAAAGGAGAAGACCACACTATTTATGAATGGGGTTAGTGAGATATTAGTTCAGAGCATATACAATAACATTGAGGTCTGAAAAACAGACAAATGGCATAACCCCTAACATCTTATCAGCCTATAAACATGCTCCCTTCAGTAGGACACAAGTGCAACATAGTTTAAATCAACTCACCTTCCCTTAGGCCCCTTCTACAGTAGCATATAAAATCCAGATTATCTGCTTTAAACTGGAGTATATGGCAGTGTAGACTCATATAATCCAGTTCAAAACAGATAATGTGGATTATCTGCTTTGATAATCTGGATTACATGGCAGTGTAAAAGGGGCCTTAGTATAGTAAAAAAAAAAAAAGAGGTATGACTTGTTAAAGGTCAACAAGTGGGTTGCAATGCTTCAGAGGACATTTGAACCCTAGCTTCCCAGAAACATAACCCAACTCTCAGACCACAATACCATGTATCTGAGGTCAAGAGGAAGGAGCCACACTCAAATGCTTCATGGAGTAATGACTATTCAGAGATAGTGTGTAATGCATGCATCAAACTTTATATGCATTTATTGTGGAGAAAGTAATCCGAACATAAAATCCCCACAGAGAGCTTTCTGAAATACAAACTGGATGTTGGATTTTGGGAGTTGCAGTCAATAAAAGCACCCCTCTCCCCCAACATAGATTTTTAAGAACAATCTTAATTTCACATTGATCTGGTTCTGGCTTCCCATGTTCATAGTGGTAATGTACACTATCCAGCCTTACAGGAAGGAATATTATCCAGCAACTTGGTGTTTGTCATGCCTTTAAAAACTTCTCTATATTGATCTGATCACAGTGGCTTACTCCTAAGTACCTGAAATCCCTCCTCATAACTAGATTGTTCATTTATTGGACTTTACAACTTGCTTTAATGTCACCGATTTGAAAATCTTTGATTTTCCCAGCCCAAAATTTAAGAGCTGCATGCACACCTGGGTAACTACAACACAGAACAAAGAAAACATCCTTGGTTCTTGAATTTCGCTTACCATATTCTCAACTGGGTGTTATAATGTTCCAAAAGATACTTTGTTAAAGCGCCAAGTGGTCCCAGCTTGTCATAGGGGATGGTTTGAGGTGCAAATAATGCCCACTGTGGTAAAAAGAGGAAAAAGGCACAAATCTTATTATTTGAGAATTACTGTAGACACTTTATAACAGAACATTACCTGCTGAGGTCACATCACACAATAGGAAAAAACTCCACCTGATAGTAAACACTAGGCATGTGTCGTCCATAAAAAAATGGTTCAAAAGTACTTACAAAACTGGGGGGGGGGGGGGACTCTGGCACTTAGTTTCATATGTGTTTCTAAAGTATACTTAGGGGAAAACTTGTTACTATAATGAGAGTAACAAAATTTCATTACTATTTCATTACAGCAATTGCGCATGCACATAATTAAATTACTATAATTAGGGAAGCTTCAGGGGTTCCTTTCTCCCTCATTTTAAAGCTGTTGGAGTGATACTAGCTACAGTGGTAGAACACATTTACATTTTCACTTATCCACAAATATTTGGGAAATTTACAAAGTTTTTATAAACATCACTAGCCATTCCCTGCCAAGCGGTGCTGTGGCCCAGTTTGGTGATTACATATATTGGTTTCTAATATATGTAATTTCTTTATGCTTGTGGGTAAACAGTATTTATTGTTGTTTCTTTTTCAGTGTTGATGTAGATTGTCTGGTTTGCCTACTCTGGAACATACAACATATAATTGTCCTTCCTTAGGGGTCCCTTTCAAATCTATGATACTATATCACTGTATATGTGAATCATCTATATCTATCTATATCTATGGCTGGATCGCTCTTTGATAGGAGCGCTTTGATTACGTTTTGTTGACCTGGTGAAGGGAGTTGGACTTAAGTATTTTCTGTTGGTCATGGGGTTCTGTGTGGGAAGTTTCCCCCAATTGTACCGTTGGTGGCATTCAGAATGCTCTTTGATTGTAGGTGAACTATAAATCCCAGTAAGTAAAACTCCCAAATGTCAAGGTCTATGTCCCCCAAACTCCATCTGTGTTCATATTTGGGCATATGGAATATTTGTGCCACGCTTGGTCCAGATCCATCATTGTTTGAGTCCACAGTGCCCTTTGGATGTAGGTGAACTACAATTCCCACACTCAAGGTCAATGCCCATCAAACCCTTCTAGTGTTTTCTGTTGGTCATGGGTGTCCTGTATGCCACGTTTGGTTCAATTCAATCACTGTTGGAGTTCAGAATGCTCCCTGATTGTAGGTTAACTATAAATTCRAGCAACTACAACTCCCAAATGACAAACTTAATTTTTTTTATGAGTGATGYTCACTCCTTGGGTTAGTAGGTATCTTGTGAACAAATTTGGGGGAAATTCATCCTGTGGTTTTTGAGTTRTGTTAATCCCACAAATGAACATTACATTTTTATTTATATAGATTTATTTACAGTATTTATATTACACTCTTCTCACCCCACAGGGGACTCAGGGCYGAATTACAGTGTACATATACATGGCAAACATTCAATGCCATAGACACACAACACATATAGACAGACAATCAGAGGCTATTTAACATTCCAYTTTTCTGGCCACCAGGGGAGCTGTCGCTTTACCGTCCYTTTGCGACACTGAGGAAGTACTTCCACATTCCCCGCATGCTTTTGCTGGAGATTTTTTAATGGCCTCGTAAATTAGTTAACTTAGCCTCCCCACATAAGTGGTACCTAATTTTCCTACTTGACAGATGCAACTGTCTTTCCGGTTGCAAAGGTCGACAGCAAGCTACACAAAATTGGCCGGAAGCTCACTCCGACCTAGGCTGGCTTCGAACTCATGACCTTTCAGTCAGTAGTGATCTTAATGCAGCTGACTCCCAGCCAGCTACACCACAATCCCTGTAGGAACAGAAGTAAACCAGAATCTTGCTAAGCAGGCTTACACAGCCCGTGTCTCGCTCATCTGATTACAGCTCTGGTCTTATATATGGAATATCAATGATATATATGCTCAAGCTTCCTGCTTATGGTTGCAAAATATATTAGCATGGTGGTGCTGAGGTTATCCAGCCTTCTGCTAATGTTATGCCACTTGTAATAAAAACACACCAAATTGGGGATGCATATTATTCTTAAAGGACATCCTGAGTTATGGTTGTTGTTGTTGTTGTTGTTGTTATGACTATGTTGAGTCAATGCAATTCAGACTTTCAGCACTTTTTATGTGAGCAAGCAGACATGGATCAGCTTGTCTTGAGCAAAACAACAACACAAATTAATAATAATAATAATAATAATAATAATAATAATAATAATAATTTTTATTTAATACCCTGCCACCATCTCCCCAATGGGGACTTGGGGTGGCTTACATGAGGCCAAGCCCAACAGCATATTACAATAAAGTAAAACCAAAACATAATAACAACACGGTAAAATACATACAACATATGAGTGCAAAGATGATAAAGCAAAATCATACACAGTAAAATAACTTAACAATGAGCATAAACATCTCTCCTTTCCAACAGAGAACTATCTTACTCCTCTGGGATCACTGCAGTTTGCTCCAAAAGGAAGAATATGTCCCACACAACTAATGTGCCATTTTTGGAGGAGATTTAAAAAAGACTGTTGGGAGGAGAGAGAACAGAGAGTATGTCTCTGAAACATTACTAGGGACCTTCCACACCGCTGTATAAAATCCACATTGAACAGGAATATATAGCAGTGTGGACTCAGATACTCCAGTTCAAAGCAGATATTGTGGATTATCTGCCTTGATTTTCTGGGTTATATGGCTATGTGGAAACGCCCTAAATCACATAATTCCAGGTTGCTCACCGGAGTGACGAAAGATGATGCTTCCCTTTCACTTCCCAGCCACCTCTCCACAAAAGTCAACATTGACACTGAAATACAACATGGTCTGAGCTCTGCGAGTGCAGCATTTTTCCGAATGAAGCAGAGAGTGTTTGAGGACCGGGACATCCGTAGGGATACCAAGGTGCTTGTTTATAAAGCTATTGTCCTCCCAACCCTGCTATACGCCTGCGAAACGTGGACTGTCTACAGACGTCACATGCAACTCCTGGAACAATTCCATCAGCGCTGCCTCTGGAAAATCCTGCAAATCTCTTGGGAAGACAGGCGGACAAATGTCAGCATGCTGGAAGAAGCAAAGACTGCCAGCATTGAAGCGATGCTCATACGCCATCAGCTCCGCTGAACTGGCCACATTGTCTGAATGCCCGAACATCATCTCCCAAAGTAGTTACTATACTCCCAGCTCAAGAATGGAAAATCAAATGTTGGTGGACAGGAAAGGAGATTTAAAGATGCGCTTAAAGCCAACCTTAAAAACTATGGCTTAGACACTGAGAACTGGGAAGCCCTGGCCCTTGAGCACTTCAGTTGGAAGTCAGCTGTGACCAGCAGTGCTGCAGAATTTGAAGAGGTACGAATGGAGGGCAAAAGAGAGAAACATTCCAAGAGGAAGGCACGTCAAGCCAACCCTGACCGGGACCACCTTCCAACTGGAAACTGATGCCCTCATTGTGGGAGAAGATGCAGATCAAAAATAGGGCTCCGTAGTCACCTAAAGACCCACCGCAGGATACTACACTTGGAGGACCATCCTCGCCTAAGTAAGTAAGTAAGTCACTTGTCCGCAATGAAAGGTGATGCTTCCCTCTCACTGAGGGAGAGACCTGTTCTCAGATGGAACATACAAGCAGCTCACCCACATACCAGGTTGGCAGGTCAAGAAAACAAGTTGCATGGATTTGTGCTAACAAAACAGATGAGGAAATACTACCTGGCTTATAACACAACAGGGATTGTCTTTTCCTTGCAGCCACTTGACTGTCACCAATTTGGAGGAAAACTCTATAGGAGTCACACATGCCAGGGAGCCCTTCCTTCCATGCCCATTTGGAAGAGTTTAGTTCAATTTGTATCCTACTGTAGCCCTCCCATTCGTAAATTGAGGATAAATACCTGAGAATTCATCTACACTGTACAATTAATGAAGTTGGCACCACTTTAACTGCTCTGGCTCAATGCTATAGGGCCATGGGAACTGCAGTTCATGGGAGTGAGAAGAGTTCTCTAATTGCTGCCTGGGGGAATCCTTTGTTGGGAGGTTCTCTAGCAAAGTGGGAAGAGTTCTCTAGCAAAGAATTTTAAGTATGGATTGCTGTGAGTTCTCCAGGCTGTATGGCCATGTTCCTGAATTTTAAGTATGGGTTGCCGTGAGTTTTCCAGGCTGAAGCATTCTCTCCTGACATTTCGCCCACATCCAACCTCAGAGGTTAAGGGATCTGTTGGAAACTGGACAAGTGAGGTTTATATATCTGTGGAATAATGTCCAGGGTGGGAGAAAGAACTCTTACGTGAATGTTGCAAATGGCCACCTTGATTAGCATTTATTGGCCTTGCAGCTTCAATGACTGGCTAATTGCTGCCTGGGGGAATCCTTTGTTGGAAGGTTTTCTAGCAAAGTGGGAAAAGTTCCCTAGCAAAGAATTTTAAATATGGGTTGCTGTGAGTTTTCCAGGCTGTATAGCCATGTTCCTGAAGCATTCTCTCCTGTCTTTTCACCCACATCCAACCTCAGAGGTTGAGGGATCTGTTGGAAACTGGACAAGTGAGGTTTATATATCCGTGGAATAATGTCCAGGGTGAGAGAAAGAACTCTTGTGTGAATGTTGCAAATGGCCACCTTATTGGCCTTGCAGCTTCAATGCCTGGCTAGTTGCTGCCTGGCTGAATCCTTTGTTGGGAGGCTCTCTAGCAAAGGGGAAAGAGTTCTCTAGCAAAGTGGGAAGAGTTCTCTAGCAAAGAATTTTAAGTATGGGTTGCTGTGATTTTTCCAGGCTGTATGGCCATGATCCAGAAGCATTCTCTTCTGATGTTTCGCCCACATCCAACCTCAGAGGTTGAGGGATCTGTTGGAAATAGACAAGTGAGCTTTATATATCTGTGAAATGTCCAGGGTGGGAGAAAGAAAAGCATTGTCGCCCCCTCTCCCCCCCCCCCCCCCCCCCCCCCCCCGTTTTCCTTACGGCGTGGTAGGCATTGACGCCTCCGATCAACAGCATCAGGATGAGTGGGGTTCTCCTGAAGTAGGTGGCGGGGTTCGGGCTCCCATGTCGCGCTGCGGGAACTGGGGCCATCCTCCGCCGTGGCATCTCCTTCCTCCTGCTGCTCTTTCTTTCGACTCATCCTGCTCTTATCCCCGGCCGCCCACGCGAGGGGAGTCACCCGTGGACTTCCCGGGGTGTTTGCCTCTGGAGGTGCTTCTCCAGCCGGGGAGAGGGAGGGAATGAAGCGCGCCTGCTCTCCTCCCACGAGGGAAGACTCCCTCCTCCTCCTCCCCCTCCTCCTCCTCTCCATAGAAGAAGGAGAGCTTCCCCACTCTGACAGCCAGGGCTCAACGGTCTGGAATCTTAGGGTTTGTAGTCTGGAAAGGAACCAGCACTCATGGCATCCTAGACTTGGAAGAGACCTCATGGGCCATCCAGTCCAACCCTCTGCCAAGAAGCAGGAAAATTGCACTCAAAGCACCCCCGACAGATAGCCACCCAGCCTCTGTTTCAAAGCTTCCAAAGAAGGAGCACCCACCACACTGCGGGGCAGAGAGTTCCACTGCTGAACAGCTCTCACAGGAAGTTCTTCCTAATGTTCAGGTGGAATCTCCTGTCTTGTAGTTCTGCTGCCCTAGTCTCCAGGGCAGCAGAAAACAAGCATGCTCCCTCCTCCCTGTGACTTCCTCTCACGTATTTATACGTGGCTATCATGTCTGCTCTCAGCCTTCTCTTTAAGCCCAGCTCTTTAAGCCGTTCCTCATAGGGCTTGTTCTCCAGACCCTTGATCATTTTAGTCGCTCTCCTCTGGACACATTCCAGCTTGTCAATATCTCTCTTCAATTGTGGTGCCCAGAATTGGACACAATATTCCAGGTGTGGTCTAACCAAGGCAGGATAGAGGGGTAGCATGAGTTCCCATTAGGGAGATTTTTTTTTGTCGTGTCAGGAGCGACTTGAGAAACTGCAAGTCGCTTCTGGTGTGAGAGAATTGGCTGTCTGCAAGGACGTTGCCCAGGGGACGCCGGATGATTTGATGTTTTTATCATCCTTGTGGGAGGCTTCTCTCATGTCCCCGCATGAGGAGCTGGAGCGGATAGAGGGAGCTCATCTGCCTCTCCCCGGATTCGAACCTGTGACCTGTCGGTCTTCAGTCCTACCGGCACAGGGGTTTAACCCACTGCGCCACTGGGGGCTCCATGGACCTAGACGCTATGCTCCTATTGATGCAGGCCAAAATCCCATTGGCTTTTTTTGCCGCTGCATCACATTGTTGCCTCATGTTTAACTTGTCCACAAGGTCTCCAAGATCTTTTTCACACGACCTGCTCTCGAGCCATGTGTCTCCCATTCTGTATCTTTGCATTTTATTTTTCTTCCTGAGTGGAGTATCTTAGAGCTGGGCATGATTAGCCTGGTCAGTCGTAAGGCTGAACAGGTCATAGGGCAACAGCCTGTGTTGGGTGGGGTTACGCTCCCCCTGAAGACGTAGGTTTGCAGCTTGGGTGTGATCCTGGACTCATTGCTGAGCCTGGAACCTCAGGTTTCAGCGGTGACCAGGGGAGCATTCGCACAGTTAAAGCTTATGCGACAGCTGTGCCCGTACCTTGGGAAGTCTGACTTTGCCACGGTAGTCCACACTCTTGTTACATCCCTTATAGACTACTGCAACGCGCTCTATGTGGGGTTGCCTTTGAAGAATGTCCAGAAGCTTCAACTGGTCCAACGGACAGCAGCCAGATTGCTAACAGGAGCGGATCTCAGGGAGCATACAACCCACTTGCTGCGCCAGCTCCACTGGCTGCCGATTTCCTATCAGGCACAATTCAAAGTACTGGCTTTAGCCTATAAAGCCCTAAATGGTTCTGGCCCAACTTACGTGTCCGAACGCATCTCCCTTTATGAACCATCGAGGACTTTTAGATCATCTGGGGAGGCCCTGCTCTTGGTCCAGCCTTTGTCACAAGTATGTCTGGTAGGGACGAGAGACAGGGCCTTCTCAGTGGTGGCCCCTCAGCTATGGAACGTCCTTCTTAGGGAGATCTGATTGGCTTCTTCGCTCCTAACATTTCAGAAAAACTCAAGACATGGCTATTCGAGCAAGCATTTGCAAATATTGAATAACGGACATAGGAAACAGAACAACTTCCTTGAGAAGTCATATTTGGCCATGGTGGTTCATGATATTGTTACATCCTGAATAGACTACTGCAGCACACTCGACGTGGGGCTGCCTTTGAAGACTGCCCAGAAGCTTCAACTAGTCCAACAGTAGGCAGCCAGGTTGTTCACCGATGTACAGGGAACATACAAATCCTTTATTATGCCAACTCTCAGAAGCTGGCTACCGATCAGCTTCTGAGAACAATTCAAAGTGCTGGTTTTAACATTTAAAGTCCTAAACGGTTCTGGCCCAGATTACCTGTCCGAACGTATCTCCTGCCATGAACCATCATGAAGTTTAAGATCTTCAGGAGAGGCCCTGCTCTCTATCCCATCACTATCGCAAGCACGGTTGATGGGGACAAGAGACAGGGCCTTCTCAGCAGTAGCCCCCCGCCTATGGAACGCCCTCCCTAGAGATATCAGATTGGCCACCTCCCTCTTGTCTTTTAGAAGGAAAATCAAGACCATGTATAAATATGTGAGAGGAAGTCACAGGGAGGAGGGAGCAAGCTTGTTTTTTCCTGCCCTAAAGACTAGGATGCAGAACAATGACTTCAAACTACAAGAAAGGAGATTCCATCTGAACATTAGGAACAATGTCATGTGAGAGCTGTTCAGCAGTGGAACTCTTTGTCCCGGAGTTTAGTAGAGGCTCCTTCTTTGGAAACTTTTAAACAGAGGCAGGATGGACATCTGTCAGGGGTGCTTTGAATGCAACGTTCCTGCTTCTTGGCAGGGGGTTGGACTGGATGGCCCATGAGGTCTCTTCCAACTCTGTATAGCTTGTGAAAGTCCTTAACGTTGGTCAGATTGATCCTATTCTGCATATTTATAACAATGTCATATCACTTTTAATTTTAACCTAAGGGCTTGTCAACACTAACCAGAAACTCCAAATTGGAGCAGAGGTTACTCCTAGATGCTTAATGTGTAACAGAAGTTGGGGATGAAACTGCAGCCCCACACTTCAAAGTTGCTGTGGACAGCTAGACCAGTCCCAATTGGAATTGGTCCACTCTCCACATGGGCCAGTGCTATCATCCCCGTTCCTTCTGCCCTATGAAGCAGGGAAAAGGTGATGGAATTTACCTTTACTGTTGGTTGTTGCCATGACAGCTAGCCACAGAGAGCTTGTGGCCATCATCGGGTGCCTTTGTTGACATCGGCAAAGGCACCCACACAACTCTGGGGAAAAGTGGGAGATGCACTTTCCAGGAATTGTAAGTATGGCTGTGCAAATTCTGGACCAGGAACTCAAAGCTAATAAACAGATGACAGATACTGACAAGATGACAAACTGACATATTTGTTCCTATAGTGGGTAGACCACCTGTGCATTTGTTCCTATAGTATAGTGGTTCTCAACCTGTGGGTACCCCGATGTTTTGGCCTTCAACTCACAGAAATCCTAACAGCTGGTAAACTGTTTGGGATTTCTAGGAGTTGTAGGCCAAAACACCTAGGGACCCACAGATTGAGAACCACTGTTATAGGAGGTCTATCTGCTTTAGTGGGATAGAGTTGCCCACTGTTGATCATCTTGGAAACCTGAGAATACTCCCTCATGATCTTTGGCAATGGAGATCCAACTCACTGCAATGGCTTGGGATGGCTTTCATCAATTTAAGCCCCTTCTATATCCCAGGATCTGATCCCAGATTATCTGTTTTAAACTGGGTCATATTAGGCCCCTTCTACACTGCCATATAAAATCCAAATTATCTGATTTAAATCGGATGGTATAGCAGTGGAGACCCCTATAATGCAGTTCAAAGCAGATGATGTTGTTTATTTGATTTAATAATCTGGATTATATGGCAGTGTAGACGGGGCCCAAGTCTCCACTGCCAGATAATCTGGGATAAGCAGATAATCTAGGATCAGGTCCTGGGATATAGGGGAAGTGTGAAAAATGCCTATGGCTGCCATGCCAGCTGCAGCCCCCTGCTTGGGACAGATATGCGCTGTCTGTAGTGATCCACATAGTGATAACCTCAAGACTTGATCATCACACTATGTTGTATACAGAGCTGCTCACAAGACGGTTCTGGGAACTACAGCTCCTTCAGGTAGGTTTCTGAATGACGTAGACTACCATCAGCAATAACAGAATTGCTTCACATCTCTCTATAGACCAATGGTAATCAACCAGTGGGTCTCCAGATGTTTCAACCTAGGACTCCCAGAAATCCCAGCCAGTTTATCAGCTGTTAGGATTTCTGGGAGTTGAAGGCCAAAACATCTGGGGACCTACAGGTTGAGTAGCACTGCTATGGACCATCCTGTTATTCAGACATCTGGAGATCATCTTGGTAGTACCCCATACTTTTGTGGAGTTCATTCAGTAGGCTTGACCATTACACTATGCTGTATGTAGAGCTGCTCTTAAGATGGTTCTGAGAACTACAGCTGCTTCAGGTAGGTTTCTGAATGACGTAGATTACCATCAGCAATAACAGCATTGCTGGTTATTGCTACTGGACCAAATTTAAGAGTGTGTTGTTAATTTATAAAGCCTTCAGCAATTTAGGATGAGGTTGCCTGAGAATTTCACATCTCCTATAGATCAGTGGTTCTCAACCTGTGGGTTCCCAGGTGTTTTGGCCTACAACTCCCAGAAATCCCAGCCAGTTTACCAGCTGTTAGGATTTCTGGGAGTTGAAGGCCTAAACATCTGGAGACCCACAGGTTGAGAACCACTGCTATGGACCATCCCATGTTTTAGACATCTGGAAACCATCTTGGTAGTACCCCATACTCTTGTAGAGTTAGTTCAGCAATCATTCAGAGCTAGACATTTAGTGAGGTGGCATCTACTACATGGAATACCCCTTACATGTTCAGCATTTCCCAGTTTTTTCTTAGTTTTAGATATGTCAGTATGTGTCTTCATGTTGATTTGGACATATGGTAACCCTGTCCTACACTATTGTTGACAAGATATATTTCAAATGGAGTCACTTTGCCCCCTTAGCCTGAGGGAATGTGATTTATTTAAGGTCACTTAGTGGGTTTCATGAGTGATTCATGACTAGGGCTGGTCTCTCAAAACCCTTGTTCCACACTCAAAACACACTGCCATGCTCGCCCTTAGGTACATGTAATTGCAAACTTTCCTTGTTTAGCCCAAACCCATTTCACAGACCAATTAAAGAGTTTGAGTATTATATACATGTATCCATTTCATCAATTCACACATCTTTGTATTATCGAAGGCTTTCATGGCCGGAATCACTGGGTTGTTGTAGGTTTTTCCGGGCTACATGGCAATGTTCTAGAGGCATTTTCTCCTGACGTTTCGCCTGCATCTATGGCAAGCATCCTCAGAGGTAGTGAGGTCTGTTGGAACTAGGAAAAAGGGTTTATATATCTGTGGAATGACCAGGGTGAGACAAAGGACTTTTGTCTGCTGGAGCTAGATGTGAATGTTTCAACTGACCACCCTGATTAGCATTTAATGGCTTGGAAGTGACTGGGGGGAATCTTTTGTTGAGAGTGATTTCATGTGCCTGATTGTTCACTCTCTGTTTTGCTGTTGTAATTTTAGAGTTTTTTAATACTGGTAGCCAGATTTTGTTCATTTTCATGGTCTCTTCCTTTCTGTTGAAATTGTCCACATGCTTGTGGATTTCAATGGCTTCTCTGTGTAGTCTGACATGGTGGTTGTTGGTGTGGTCCAGCATTTCTGTGTTCTCAAATAATATGCTGTGTCCAGGTTGGTTCATCAGGTGCTCTGCTATGGCTGACTTCTCTGGTTGAAGTAGTCTGCAATGCCTTTCATGTTCCTTGATTTGTGTTTGGGCGAATAGGGACCACCAAACTACAAATAATTTACACATTGCATCTCCCCTATATATTCGAGGTGGACAACCTGTGACCCTCTGAATATTGTCCAATCAGGCCTAGCTAACTGGGAGATGCTAGGTATCACATTCCAGCATCTGGAGGGCCATGATTCCTGGGTTGCTCCAAAGCCTAGCTAAGTGTGTCTAGGGCCAGATGGCTGAGCATAATCTCACGGTGCCACCACACTTTCAGTCTATATGGCACAGCTTGTAACCAGGCCTTCTGCTGCCAGGCTATAAGGGCCATTTTAAGCTTCAGAGTAGGCTTTAGTGTAGTTTTTTTAACAACCCCTACACCACAATGGAGTCCTCGGTGGCGCAGTGGGTTAAAGCGCTGAGCTGCTGAGCTTTTTGACCAAAAGGTCACAGGTTCAAATCCGGGGAGCGGCGTGAGCCCCAGCTTCTGCCAACCTAGCAGTTCGAAAACATGCAAATGTGAGTAGATTAATAGGTACCGCTCCAGTGGGAAGGTAACGGCACTCCATGCAATCATGTCGGCCACATGACCTTGGAGGTGTCTACAGACAACGCCGGCTCTTCAGCTTAGTAATGGAGATGAGCACCAAACCCCAGAGTCAGACATGACTGGACTTAATGTCAGAGGAAAACCTTTACCTTTACACCACAATATGCAGGTAGTAGTGCTTGGTCTCAATTATTTAATATTGGCTTTCCCTGAGCCAACTGAAAGCTCACCTCTTTGTTATGAACTTCAATAAGAACTTTTATAAGCAAATAACTTCACTTTCCTCACCGCTTCAAAATCCAATTGGGACATGTAAAAGGTAGTGGTTTTTTCCTGGTAGGAATGAACATGATTTGTTTTGGATGCATTGATTATTGAGGGAGCCAACCATTTCCATGCTGAAAACAAGACCAAAAGGCTGACTTTGTTTTTATGTTGTCTTCTGCTTAAATCCTTCATTTCTTTTTCATTGGTGGTTTGTAAATCCACAAGAAGAACAGGGAGCCTAATCCATACGTAACTGTTTGAGCAAACCACCGAACCTGGGTTGTGTGATCAGTGATGCCTTTCTCCCTGCAGAGAAGAAAGAGACAAATAAATGTAACACTACTAAATTAGAGAATAAAAATCTAGGTAAACAAAGATCTTTGAGGCTCTCTAACCTTCCCAATTAGGCTGCTCACCCTTGCTTCCTTATGCTCATATCAACATTGTTGTTGTTGTTGTTGATGATGATGATGTTGTTGTTGTTGTTGTTGTTGTTGTGTGCTTTCAAGTCATTTCCCTGATATACTATTCCTTGGGATAATTAGAGCTCACCACTTTTTTTCCCACAGACAATTTTGCTATAGCTAGTACTAACCTTTCATATCATAGAATCATAGAGTTGGAAGAGACCTAATGGACCATCCAGTCCAACCCCCTGCAAAGAATCAGGAAAATTGCATTCAAAGCACCCCCGGCAGATGGCCATCCAGCCTGTTTAAAAGCTTCCAAAGAAGGAGCCTCCACCACACTCCGGGGCAGAGAGTTCCGCTGCTGAATGGCTCTCACAGTCAGGAAGTTCTTCCTAATGTTCAGATGGAATCTCCTTTCCTGTAGTTTGAAGCCATTGTTCCGCGTCCTAGTCTCCAGGGCAGCAGTAAACAAGCTTGCTCCCTCCTCCCTATGACTTCCTCTCACATACTTATACATGGCTATCATGTCTCCTCTCAGCCTTCTCTTCTTCAGGCTAAACATGCCCAGCTCTTTAAGCTGCTCCTCATAGGGCTTGTTCTCCAGACCCTTGATCATTTTAGTCGCCCTCCTCTGGACACATTCCAGCTTGTCAACATCTCTCTTGAATTGTGGTGGCTAGAATTGGACACAATATTCTAGGTATGGTCTAACCAAGGCAGAATAGAGGGGTAGCATGACTTCCCTGGATGTATGGCATTGGATTTTGTATATATGTATGTGCATATGAATATATAGCATTAAATTTTGTTTTTACAATGTTGGGAACTGCTTTGAGTTCCCTTAGGGGAAGAAAAGCGGTATATAACTATAGTAAATAAAATAAAGAAATAATCTGCTTTTTAAAACTACTTTAGATTGCACAAAAAATCATCTCCCCCATGAACGCACGTATAAATTATTTGTATTTAAAGAAGTGGCATTTCAGCCAAGGCTGTTTATGAAAACTGCAAGAAGTAAAATGAGGCCAAAAACCAAAGAGCAATCATTTGAAATTGCTTACTTGCAAATTTTGAGACCAATAAATGCATACAGAGTATGAAGTATCCAGATCGTCACAAACCTGTGAGTAAAAAAGGAGAAGAGCACACTATTCATGAATGGTGTTAATGGAATACTAGTTCAGAATATACACAAACTACTCTTGTAGTTTGAAGCCATTGTTCTGCGTCCTAGTCTCCAAGGAAGCAGAAAACAAGCTTGCTCCCTCCTCCCTGTGGCTTCCCCTCATATATTTATACATGGCTATCATATCTCCTCTCAGCCTTCTCTTCTTCAGGCTAAACATGCCCAGCTCCTTAAGCCGCTCCTCATAGGGCTTGTTCTCCAGACCCTTGATCATTTTAGTCGCCCTCCTCTGGACACATTCCAGCTTGTCAATATCTCTCTTGAATTGTGGAGCCCAGAATTGGACACAATATTCCAGGTTTGGTCTAACCAAAGCGGAATAGAGCATGGGGAGCATGACTTCCCTAGATCTAGACACTAGGCTCCTCTTGATGCAGGCCAAAATCCCATTGGCTTTTTTTGCCGCCACATCACATTGTTGGCTCATGTTTAATGTGCAACATGGTTTAAATCAACTTGCCTTTCCTTTGGCCCCTTCTACTTTGCCATATAAAATCCAGATTATCTACTTTAAACTGAATTATATGGCAGTGTAGACTCATAATACGGTTCAAAGCAGATAATGTGGATTGAGTTTTCTGGGAGAGAGAGACAGATTTTATATATATATATATATATATATATAGAGAGAGAGAGAGAGAGAGAGAGAGAGAGAGAGAGAGAGAGAGAAAGGTGAAATGAAAGCAGCTCTGAAGGCAGTCTTCAGGTGCCACTTGGTTCCTGCTGCGGGGCTTCAGCCTGAAAGGAGGCAATACACTCACAGGATGGCCAAGTAGCTTCCTCCTCCTTCTCTGCATTAGACAAAGATTACTGCTTGGCCATTTTGGCTAATGTGCAGCAAGGCAGTGTGGGAAATGTAGTTTAACGGCAGGGCCTTTTGCAATATCTACTATTGGGGGCCTGCCCTTCACAAACTACAACAATGCCTGTGCTTAACGATGCCCTGCATCGCCTGGGGAGAGGAAGCATGAAAGCAGTTAGGCTTTACAAAAGTTGATTAATGCTTGTGAAAATTAAAATAATCTTGGGAGACATCTGAACACTATGGAATATTTACGAATAAAAAAGGTAAGTAGTTCAAATTCAGAATTGTACCTCCTACTTTTCCCGCATGGTTCAAAATTGATTCGGAAGCCCAAATTTGGTAGATTTTTACGACTTTTAGGTTTTAACAAAGCGAACCTAACCAACTCTACTACACACACACTTGAACAAGTGCAACGCAGAACAAGGAATTTAGCTTACCATATTCTCAAAGGAGTGTTATAGTGTTCCAAAAGATACTTTGTTAAAGTGCCCAGTTGTCCCAGCTTGTCATAAGGGATGGTCTGAGGTGCAAAGAATGTCCACTGTGGCGAAAAGAGGGAAAAGGCACCGATTTTATCAATTATGCATTACTGTACTGTATCACCGCATATTGCCTGCCGAGCTCACATCACAAATAGGAAAAAAGATTCCACCTGATAGTAAAAGCTGTTCAACAGTGAAATATGCTGCCTCTAAGCATGGTGGAGTCTCTTTCTCTGGAGGTTTAGAAACAGAGGCTGGATAGTCGTGAAAAGGGGTTGGTGCTCATGTTCCCTTCCAACTCTATAATTTTCTGTTGGAACGCATTTCCATGTGCAACATTAAAGGGGGAAAGTTGCTCCTCAATTTCTTTTGTGCATAGACTCAACATTTGTAGAGAGTTACACTATGATCTAAGCATGCCTTGTTCACTGAAGTTGAGGATTAAATGGTGTCTTCCATTTTTAGTCTTCTCATGCTCTCTCCTTACTCTTCAAATGTATAGCTCAAGATCCCCCTATGAATCTCCAAAAAAATGTGTGGTTGACCGACTGCCTTCAAAGCCTGGTGTTTGTTGTCTGAAAAATAACTTCTCCAACCTTTAGGTAAGAGTATTTTTGGACAGCTTCCAAGAGTTGAGGGGGGAAAAAACTCCATAGAGCTACTAACCAGTCGACAGAAGGCAATGAGAATCAAAAAGCTGATCTCTGGAAAATTTACAGAAGATCAGCAAAATCTTGTGTGGCAGAATTGGGAGTTCTTTCTGATGTTTTTCAAGTCAAAACTAGATTTTTTTAAATTTTTTGTCCCAAACACTAGTTGGAGCATTGTAGGATTCAATAAACAATTTGGGATTCAATTGTTTTGCTTCTTGGCAGGGATGAATGGTCCATGAGGTCTCTTCCAACTCTATGATTCTACGATTCTATCTTTACCCCTGAAATCTGGCCTGATCGGCTTTAGGATGCTGAAGCCTTTTGTGTTTTATGTAAAGATCAGGCCCGTAGCCAGGATTTTGTTTCGGGAGGAGCTGAGTTTGATTTGGGGGGGGGGGGCTGAGTCTGAGTTAAAAAGGGTCTACCTTAGCAAACCTTTTGTATCGTTACCCCAATACTCCCATGCATATGAGATATATTGAGCATGGTGATCAGATCATGATATGAATAAACATAACAGTTTAAATAATGTACCAGTAAGACCTTCTCGCGGACCATCATGAGAATTTTGGGGGGGGGGGTTGGGGGGCTTCGCCTGGTACATGCCTGGTAGAGACGCCAAGAATTGAATCTGGATCCTCTAGGATTCAAAATATGTCACTTACTATTATCCTTTCACTTGGGTCCCAACCAGGAAAATGAATGAAATAGCAAGATAAACATTTGAAGATGAATACATTCTATAATCTTTAACCATGATTCTAAAATGATCCCAGTTATTAGCGTTGTAGCTTTTATAGTTAAGGGAAACAGCAGGAGGGAAAGAGGCTTGTAGAAAGCTTGGCTTTTTAAGTGTTTTTGCCTCTTACTCCTAAGATATCTAAAGCAGCATGGCCAATGGTAAGGAATGAAGGGTCTTGTAGTCCAAAACAGCCAGAAAGCTAGATCAAATTTTCCTCGCATTGTTCCAGTTTGGATCTACTCACTGTTAAATACAATATAGTTGTATTCTGTGAAATAAAAGCACTAGGACTCTCTAAGAACTGGTGTCAGAGCATGTAAATCTCTACAACCAAATGCAGCTGAGAGAAATGAAGTGTTTATTTATATACCACCTACACACAAGTCTGAAGGTACAGAAGTAAACCAGAAACTTGCTAAGCAGGCTTACACAGCCCGTGTCTCACTCATCTGATTACAGCTCTGGTCTTATATATGGAATATCAAATGATATATATGCTCAAGCTTCCTGCTTGTGGTTGCAAAATATATTGGCCTGATGGTGCTGAGGTTATCCAGCCATCTGATAATGTTATTCCAAATTGAGGATGCATATACTTCTTAAAGGGCATCCTGGGTTGTTGTTATGCTGAATCAATGCGATTCAGACTTTCAGCACTTTTTATGTGAGCAAGCTTGTCTTGAGCAAAGCAGCAACACAAATTAAGAGCAAAAACATCTAATAATAATAAAAAATAATAAAACTTTATTTATATACCACTCCATCTCCCCGAGGGGACTCAGAGCAGTTCCCAGGTAACATCACAAAACATATGAAGTAAAAAACAACATAACCATAAGATTAACAAAACAAAATATAAGCATAAAAATTGTCACCATAACATACATATATTAAAAGTAATCCTGCCTGTTCAAGGCAATTAAAAAATGTAAAAGGCCGGGCCAAGATTTGTGCAAGCCCAAAAATTCTAGGGGACCCAGGAATTAAGTGCAATGCTATGGCAGGCAACAATAATATTAGGTACGGGTCTGTGGCTGTTCATTCCGGGGCCGATTCGAGGAAAGAATCTAGGTCAGTGGTTCTCAACCTGGGGTCCCCAGATGTTTTTGGCCTACAACTCTCAGAAATCCCAGCCAGTTTACCAGCTGTTAGGATTTCTGGGAGTTGAAGGCCAAAAACATCTGGGGACCCCAGGTTGAGAACCACTGACTAGTAATTGGTAGGAAGAATAAGGCCGTATTCAACAATGTGTAGTGCTGAGTTAGAACTGGTCATTTTCAAAGGCTTATTGAAACCACTAGGTCTTCAAGCTCTTACAAAAGGAGGGGAGGGATGGGGCCTGTCTTATTTCCCTCTCCTTTCCAACAGAAAGCTGCCTTACTCCTCTAGGATAAATGCAGTTTGCTCCAAGAGCAAGAATATTTCCCACACAACTAATTTGTCATCTTTGGAGGGGATTTAAAAGTTGGAAGGAGAGAGAACAGAGAAAGGGAAGGTATAGGTATGTCTCTGAAATACTACTAGGGCCCCTTCCACACAGGTGTATAAAATCCACATTGAACTGAATTATATGGCAGCGTGGGCTCAAATAACCCAGTTCAAAACAGATATTGTGGATTATCTGCCTTGATATTCTGGGTTATATGGCTGTGTCGAAAGGCCCTAAATTTCATAATCCCTATCCTATGCATGGTTACTCATAGTCACGTATCTGCAATGAAAGATGATGCTTCCCTCCCACTGAAGGAGAGACCTTTTTTCAGTTACAAGCAGCTCACCCACATACCAAGTTGGCAGGTCAAGAAAACAAGTTTGTGCTAACAAAACAGATGAGGAAATGCTGCCTAACACTGGCTTATAACACAATGCTCTCAATTTGGAGGAAGACTCTATAGGAGTCATACATGCCAAGGAGCCCTGCCTTCCATTCCCATTTGGAAGAATTTAGTTCAGTATGTATCCTACTGTAGCCCTCCCATTCACAAACTGAGGATGAATACCTGATAGTCCATCTACACTGTAGAATTAATGCAGCTTGACACCACTTTAACTGCTATGGCTCAATTCTATGGAGCCATGGGAACTGTAGTTCATGGGAGTGGGAAGAGTTCTCTAGCAAAGAATGTTAAGTATGGGTTACTGTGAGTTTTCCAGGCTGCCTTATTTTTGTAGATTGTATAGTATTAACTTAATGTTAATTTTATTAATTATTGTTAATTTTATTAATAACTATTTAAAATTATTGATTTTGGTATGTATTTTATTGTGTTTATTTATAGGCATCAAATATGTGCCGGCTGAAAGCTGCCCTGAGTCCCCCCAAGGGGGGGTGAGAAGGTCGGGGTACAAATATCCAAAATCTATCTATCTATCTATCTATCTATCTATCTATCTATCTATCTATCTATCATCTATCTATCATAAAAATGAATGTTTGTATGTATTTATATATGTACTAGCGGTTCCCTGCCACACATTGCTGTGGCCCAGTCTGGTGATCTGAAAAATAAAGTAATTAGAAAGTGTTGGTTTCTAATATATGTAATTTCTTTATGCTTGTGGGAAAACAGTATTTCTTGCTGTTTCTTTGTCAGTGTTGATGTGGAGATTGTCTGGTTTGCCTACTCTGGAACATGCAACATATTATTGTCCTTCCCTTTCAAATCTATGATATTATATCTCTCTGTGAATCATATATATATCTATCTATATTAAAACTTGTGTGCCAGCTGCGCCCGTACCTTGGAAAGTCTGACTTGGCCACAGTGGTCCACGCTTTGGTTACATCCCGTTTAGATTACTGCAACACTCTCTACGTGGGGTTGCCTCTGAAGACTGCCCGGAAGCTTCAATTAGTCCAACGTGCGGCAGCCAGATTACTAACGGGAGCAGGGTACAGGGAGCATACTACTCCTCTGTTGCGCCAGCTCCACTGGCTGCCAATTAGCTTCCGAGCACAATTCAAAGTGCTGGTGCTGACCTATAAATCCTAAACGGCTCCGGCCCAGTTTACCTGTCCGAACGGATTCTCCCCTATGAACCATCAAGGTTGTTAAGATCTTCTGGAGGGGCCCTGCTCTCGGTCCCACCACCCTCGCAATCGCGTCTGGTGGGGACGAGGGACAGGGCCTTCTCGGTGGTGGCCCCTCGGCTCTGGAACTCTCTCCCACTGGAGATTAGAACTGCCCCTTCTCTCCTGACTTTTAGAAAGCTGGTGAAAACTTGGCTCTGGAATTTAGCATTTGATGAGTGAGTCAATAACTCTTGACCACACGGACGGATGGTGATGAATTGTGATTTCATTCTGACGACTTGGCCTTATGTAATTATATGATTGTTTTTTAATGTATTTTTATGTATTACTGTATTATGGGATGTGATGTTTTAAACTATTGTTTATGAATCTTTGTTGTAAACCGGCCTGAGTCCCTCTCCGGAGGTCTAAATAAATAATAAATAAATAAATATATCTATGGCTAGATATCTCTTTGTCAGGAGGGCTTTGACTACGTTTTCTTGCCCTGGTGGAGGGAGTTGGACTGCATGGCCTTAAGTATTTTCTGTTGGTCTTTGATTGTAGGTGAACTATAAATCTCAGCAACCACAACTCCCAAATGTCAAGGTCTATTTTCCCAAAACTCCATCAGTGCTCAACTTTGACATATTGAGTATTTGTGCTAAGTTTGGTCCAGATCTATCATTGTTTGAGTCCACAGTGCTCTCTAGATGTAGGTGATCTACAACTCCCAAATTGCAAGGTATGTTCTCCCCAAACTCCACCAGTGTTCACATTTGGGCATATTGAGAATTTGTGCCAAGTTTAGTCCAGATCCATCATTGTTTGAGTCCACAGCGCTCTCTAGATGTAGGTGAACTACAACTCCCAAACTCAAGGTCAATGCCCTCCAAACCCATCCGGTATATTCTGTTGGTCATGGGAGTTCTGTGTGTCAGGTTTGGTTCAATTCTATCATTGGCGGAGTTCAGAATGTTCTTTGATTGTAGGTGAACTATAAATCCCAGCAACTACAATTCCCAAATATCAAGGTCTATTTCCCCAAACTCAACCAGTGTTCACATTTGGACATATTGGGTATTTGTGCCAAATTTGGTCCAATGAATGAAAATATATCCTGTTTATCAAATATTTACATTACGATTCCTACTAGGAGCAAAATGAAAGTTCTGAAGTAGCAACGAAAATAATGTTGTGGTTGGGGGTCACCATAACATGAGGAACCGTATTAAAGAGTATTAGGAAGGTTGAGAAACACTGTTGTAGATTCCATAGCATTGAGCCCGGGTGTCCAATTAGAGCCTGTAGAGCAGGGCTTGCCAGGCTTTGCTCTTCCAGGGGTTTGGACTTCATTTCCCAGGCTCCCTGCTCATTAGAGAGAGCAGCCGAGGCTTCTGGGAAGTGAAGTCCAAACCTTCTGGAAGACTAGAGTTTGGGGACCAGAGGTGGAGGTGCATCGTCAGTCTGCTACATTGCCTCTCTGGCTTCATGTCTTGGAACTACAAGGTTCCCAATCGCTCCCCCAAGCACATGGTTCACTTACGGCGTGGTAGGCATTGACGCCTCCGATCAAGAGCATCAGGATGAGTGGGGTTCTCCTGAAGTAGGTGGCGGGGTTCGGGCTCCCATGTCGCGCTGTGGGAACCGGGGCCATCTTCTGCCGTGGCATCTCCTTCCTCCTCCTGTTCTTTCTTTGGACTCATCCTGCTCTTATCCCCGGCCGCCCACACGAGGGGAGTCACCCGTGGCCTTTCCGGGGTGTTTGCCTCTGGAGGTGCTTCTCCTGCCGGGGAGAGGGAAGGAATGAAGCGCGCCTGCTCTCCTCCCACGAGGGAAGACCTCCTCCCCCTCCTCTCCATAGAAAAAGGAGAGCTTCCCCACGCAAACAGCCAGGGCTCAGTGCTCTAGAATCCTGGGATTTGTAGTTTGGGCGGAACCAGCACTCATAGAATCAAAGAGTTGGAAGAGACCTCATGGGCCATCCAGTCCAACCCCCTGCCAAGAAGCAGGAATATTGCATTCAAATCACCCCTGACAGATGGCTATCCAGCCTCTGTTTAAAAGCTTCCAAAGAAGGAGCCTCCACCACACTCCAGGGCAGAGAGTTCCACTGCTGAACAACTCTCACTGTCAGGAAGTTCTTCCTCATGTTCAGATGGAATCTCCTTTCTTGTAGTTTCGCGTCCTAGTCTCCAAGGAAGCAGTAAACAAGCTTGCTCCCTCCTCCCTGTGGCTTCCTCTCACATATTTATACATAGCTATCATATCCCCTCTCATCCTTCTCTTCTTCAGGCTAAACATGCCCAGCTCTTTAAGCCGCTCCTCATAGGGCTTGTTCTCCAGACCCTTGATCATTTTAGTCGCCCTCCTCTGGACACATTCCAGCTTGTCAATATCTCTCTTGAATTGTGGTGCCCAGAATTGGACACAATATTCCAGGTGGGTCTAACAAAGCGGAATAGAGGGGTAGCATTACTTCCCTAGATCTAGACACTATGCTCCTAGTGATGCAGGCCAAAATCCCATTGGCTTTTTTTGCCGCCACATCACATTGTTGGCTCATGTTTAACTTGTTGTCCACGAGGACTCCAAGATCTCGAGCCAGGGCATCCCCATTCTGTATCTTTGCATTTCGTTTTTCCTGCCAAAGTGGAGTATCTTGCATTTGTCGCTGTTGAACTTCATTTTGTTAGTTTTGGCCCATCTCTCTAATCTGTCAAGATCGTTTTGAATTCTGCTCCTGTCCTCTGGAGTATTGGCTATCCCTCCCAATTTGGTGTCGTCTGCAAACTTGATGATCATGCCTTCTAACCCTTCATCTAAGTCATTAATAAAGATGTTGAACAGGACCGGGCCCAGGACGGAACCCTGCGGCACTCCGCTCGTCACTTCTTTCCAGGATGAAGAGGAAGCATTGGTGAGCACCCTCTGGGTTCGTCCATTTAACCAATTACAGATCCACCTCACCGTAGTTTTGCCTAGCCCACATTGGACTAGTTTCCTTGCCAGAAGGTCATGGGGGACCTTGTCGAAGGCCTTACTGAAATCCGGGTACGCTACATCCACGGCATTCCCCGCATCTACCCAGCTTGTAACTCTATCAAAGAAAGAGATCAGATTAGTCTGGCATGACTTGTTTTTGATAAATCCATGTTGACTATTAGCGATGACTGCACTTGTTTCTAAGTGTTTGCAGACCGCTTCCTTAACAGATCTTTTCCAGAATCTTGCCCGGTATCGACGTGAGGCTGACCGGATGGTAGTTGTTTGGGTCATCCTTTTTTTTGGGGTTTGTAATTTGGAGAGGAACCAGCACTCTTTGGCAGAGAAGGTTGAGGTCCTTGTAGAACCACAGCTTCCTGGATTCCACATCACCCAAGTAGTCAAAGCCCCTTCCACACAGTTGAAAAAAATCCCACTTTTTCTGCTTTGAACTGAGATATATTTATTTCGTATCAAAAGCATTGCATAAATGAGTATAAAACTGATAAAAATAGGTTTGCAGGCAGCTAAATATCTTTTGACCAAAAACGAGCAACAGCGACGGCATTGTCTGTAGTCTCCAACAATTCTTCCTCTGTACATGAGGCAGGGCACAATGGACAAGCATACAGATGCGGAGTTGTCTGTTCTGCTCCACAGTCACACAAAGTGTGGGATTCTTTTAGGTAGTGCCATTTTGCCAGGTTGTCTTTTGATCTGCCCACTCCGCTTCTGAGTCTGTTCAGGAACTTCTAGGTTTATTTATTTACGACATTTATATGCTGCCCGGAGCCCCTGGTGGCGCAGTGGGTTAAAGCCCTGTGCTGGCAGGACTGAAGACCGGCAAGACTGAAGACCGACAGGTCGCAGGTTCGAATCCGGGGAGAGGCGGATGAGCTCCCTATATCAGTTCCAGCTCCTCATACGGGGACATGAGAGAAGCCTCCCACAAGGATGATAATACATCAGATCATCCGGGCATCCCCTGGGCAACGTCCTTGCAGACAGCCAATTCTCTCACAACAGGAGTGACTTGCAGTTTCTCAGGTCGCTCCTGACACGACTATATATATATATATATATATATATATATATGCTGCCCTTCTCACCCCGAAGGGGACTCAGAGCGGCTTACAGATGACAATGTCGTCTGTGCGCATTCAGAAGAAGATCTACAAGCCACTCTAAACACTTTTGCAGAAGCATACGAGAAGCTCGGCCTGTCATTGAACATTGAGAAAACCAAAGTGTTCTTCCAGCAGTCACCAGCCAACCCCTCTCCACTGCCAGATATACAGCTTAATGGTGTAACATTAGAAAATGGACTGTCTACAGACGTCACATGCAACTCCTGGAACAATTCCATCAGTGCTGCCTCCGGAAAATCCTGCAAATCTCTTGGGAAGACAGGCGGACAAACGTCAGCGTGCTGGAAGAAGCAAAGACCACCAGCATTGAAGTGTTGGTCCTCCGCCATCAACTCTGCTGGACCAGCCATGTTGTCCAGATGCCCGACCACCGTCTCCCAAAGCAGTTGCTCTACTCCGAACTCAAGAACGGAAAACAGAGTGTTGGTGGACAGGAAAAGAGATTTAAAGATGGGCTCAAAGCCAACCTTAAAACTCTGGCATAGACACTGAGAACTGGAAGCCCTGGCCCTTGAGCGCTCCAGCTGGAGGTCAGCTGTGACCAGCAGTGCTGCAGAATTTGAAGAGGCACGAATGGAGGGTGAAAGACAGAAACGTGCCAAGAGGAAGCCGACCGAGACTGCCTCCCATCTGGCAGTCTTCAGGAGGAACTTGAAGACGTGGTTGTTCCAGTGTGCCTTCCTGGAATAATGATCCCTTAGCACTTTGTCCCTCTAAAGCACTTTACATTTTTAGGTCTGCTCGTATGTCTTTCCACAAACGCCACTATCACCTTTTCGTCCATGTTTCAGCACTATTTCCAATTTTAATTTTACATTTGGCCTTCCCACAGTTTTTAATTGTATGTTGTCTTATTGATAATATTGTATGTTTATTGTTTATGTTTTTTATTTTAATTGCTTGTATTGTTGTAATTATTGCTTGTATTGTGTTCGGGCTCAGCCTCATGTAAGCCGCATCGAGTCCCTTGGGAAGATGGTAGCGGGGTACAAATAAAGTATTATTATTATTATTATTATTATTATTATTATTATCATCATCATCATCAAGAATAGGGCTCCACAGTCACCTACGGACCCACAAGAATACTGATCCTGGAAGACTATCCTACTCGACCAATGAGGGATTGCCTAAGTAAGTAAGTAAGTAAGTAATGAGAGGAAGCTGAGAGGAAGCTGTGACATATTTGTGAGGGTTAGTAAAGCAGAATAAGTAGAAGCTTTACCACAGTAGTTAGCCAAGGCATATCCTGCTGTATAATAAAATGTCACTTAGGCTTGTGAAACAAGTAACAGTATCTTTACTTTAGTTCAAAGGTTCAAACATGGTAACAATATATACATCAGTTTCTTTGAATACTGGTAGGAAACAGAGGAATAAAATAGTCTTTTTAAATAGTCTTCAAAACAAGCATCATGCCATAAAATGATCAATCTTTAAGATAGTTGGCAGCCAGTACTGTCCAAAGTGAGAACAAACAGCAGAATGACAGTTAGAACCGTTAGCCTCAGCAGCCAGCCAGAGGCAACAGCCAATCAGAACCCCGGCCGCTGCCACACTTAGCCAATCGGCTGCTGACACATCTCTGTCCAGTTAACCCACCATATCATGGCATCCTTTGTCAAATCCTAACAATATTCACCCTGCTGTTCTCTCTTCGCAAAAGCCTGGTGAAGCAGGATGCTTTGCCAGGGTTTTATGATGAGGTCCTTAGTGAGGAAGAGTAGAAGAGGAGGAGAGTTCTGCCTCCTGTTGTCAGTTCAGTGTGAGCATGCTGACACAGAAGTGGAACAGGTAATTGCTGCCAATTCCACAAAATGTGGGTGACCATACAGGCGACAAAAACTTTGTGGTGTTGGCAGCCATTGATAGGTTTTGACTGTCAATAAAGGAAGATGTGAGATAGGGACTGTCATCAATAGTGACCATCCTGTTTCCATGCCAGTTTGCCCCCCTTGCGTGATTAAGTCTATTGTGCTATCATTGTGTAATATGAATGGGTATTTAGTCAGGGGAGATGTTGCAAACTAGCCAGTGACGGAAAAGCTTGCTTGATGTTTATTTATTTATTTATTTATTTATTTTATTTCGAGTACTTCTACCCCGCCCTTCTCAACCCCCAAGGGGGGACTCAGGGCGGCTTACAAAAAGGCACAATTTGATGCCTACACAAATTACACATACGTACAAAACAGCAAAAACAATTATCACAGTTAAAAACAATCAATATATAACACATCAATAAAACTATTCTCATGCTCAGCATTTGTCTTTCAGAGTTCCGTAATTCCATTCCATTAGTCAATTCCTGTCCATTGTCAAAGTCCTTTCTTTATCTGCCAGATTGTCCGAATGCCTGGTCCCAAATCCATGTTTTCAATTTTTTCCTAAAGGAAAGGAGGGATGTCGCTGATCTAATTTCCCCGGGGAGTGAATTCCACAGGTGAGGGGCCACCACCGAGAAGGCCCTGCTCCTCGTCCCCGCCAATCTCACTTGTGATAGAGGCAGGGTCGAGAGCAGGGCCTCCCCAGAAGATCTTAAACTCCGAGGTGGGACGTAGAGGGAGATCCGTTCAGACAGATTCACTGAAGTATGACCAAGTAGAATCTTAAAAGGAAAAAGAGGAAGGTGTTGCAATATTTTAATCTATAAATACAGAGATATGTAACTTAAACC